TGCATACAATAACAAACTATTTCCTTAATCAGCTACCATAAGATGTCAAAGAAACGATGGAACTTTCCGACTTTGGTTTCTAAAATTCCTAGTATGATAAAAATTCAGTTTTATTTTTATATTGTAAGATAGCACGTAGTGCACCACATTATAGTGTAATTTTTTTAAAAATTTCTACAAAATCAAAACGGAATCACTGCAAGGTCTAAAGTGCATTCCATTAGTTCGATCCAGTCGTTTAAAAGCATTGCAGCGACAGCGAAAAGGAAACGTCGTAATAGAGGTATAATATGCTTAATAACAGAAGTGTTCTCTTTCTTTGGCAAGTTCTTGCGAGGGGCCATCTCATTTTTTGAAAACAAAAATGTTATCCCTGCTGAACGGGTACAAAATTCGGCGAAAAACAGTAAGTAATATTAAACATCCAACGCGTTTAATTTATAAGCCATGCTTGTGTATATTAACCTGCATCTGCAAGTAAAATCGAATTATAAAACTATTGCTGTAATCGACAGTTCGGATGAATGTGATTATTAACCACTTGTAAAGCTTGTAGACTGCAGCAAATAACTTAAATAAATTAAGCGCTGGTGGAAACCAAAATGCCCTTAAAAGTAACAAAACTTGCGTTCTTCTCTGCAATGATAGCACAACAGAATGGTGAAAAGAAAACCAGAAGGAATTTAATTTTTAAATGTAAAAATGTATTTTGGGTGCTTTTTTAACCTCATGATCAAATCCAGTTTATAATTACGCCAGTGGATTCATTGACATAAATCTTTGCAGCTAATTTTTTCCCTTGAAAAATAATAGTGATGAAATGCGCAGAAGGTACCTACATACAAAATTTATTTAAATGTTTTGATAAATTAAAAATTTTTTTGATTCGGCATTAGTTTTACTTGAGGGCCCTACATACAAAATTTCAGTAATTTAGGTATCTTACCAATTAAACAAGTTAAAAAGTAATCGTAAACGATTTACATAAAGCGCATTTCCACTTGCATTCATTTCCCATTTGTAAGATGCAACTTCTGTTAAAATCGTAAAAATCCGGCCACAAATATGAAAGATAGCGTTGCACATGGGCAATCCATTTTTGACGTGCTACTTCAATTTCAGTTTATGAGAAGAATTTCATTTCAATGCTTTTCTAAATAAGAAAGTTGGAACTGCGCATGCGCAAACCTAAATTTTGAAACTAATGTTAGATTTTCCTTTGTTCCAAGCGCCTAAGTATCAAATTTCAGTTAAATGCTTCCATAGATAAAAAAGTTGGCACTGCGCATGCGCAAAATAAAATTTTGAAACTGGCGCTAGATTTTCCTTTATTCCAAGTGCCTATGTATCATATTTCATTTAAATTCTTCCATAAATAAAAATGTTGGCACTGCGCATGCGCAAAACCAAATTTTGAAACTGGCGTTTGATTTTCCTTTATTCCACGTGCCTATGTATCACATTTCATTTAAATTCTTCCATAAATAAAACAGTTGGCACTGCGCATGCGCAAAACCAAATTTTGAAACTGGCGTTTGATTTTCCTTTATTCCAAGTGCCTATGTATCAAATTTCATTTAAATTCTTCCATAAATAAAAAAGTTGGCACTGCGCATGCGCAAAACCAAATTTTGAAATTGACGTTTGATTTTCCTTTATCCCAAGTGCCTATGTATCAAATTTCGTTTAAATTCTTCCATAAATAAAAAAGTTGGCACTGCGCATGCGCAAAACCAAATTTTGAAATTGGCGTTTGATTTTCCTTTATTCCAAGTGCCTATGTATCAAATTTCATTCAAATACTTTTATAAGTAAAAAAGTTTGCAATTCGGTTTATAAATGGTCGAGATGCGAAAAGGGCACTGTGAATTTTGAATCGATTCGATTCAACTTTTGGCATTGCGTATTATATGGCTAAAGCTATGCCCATATTGAATTTCATGCAATTCAGTTCATAACTAACGGAGATGTAAAAGCGATCGAACATTTCTAAACAAAGTTATCGTTCACACGGACAGATAGATGGACAGACAGACAAAGGAACAGACGGACAGACCAACAGGCAGACGACAGATAGCAATGCAAAATTATAAACGATCTCTAGGATCGTTAATAAACGGCAAAAGTGTAAAATTATGGAACATGTAAAAAACGGTTTTTTGTTTTTTTTACAATAACTTTTTTTGTAAGCGGTACAGAAAAAATTCCTTCCTTGGTACAAGACTCGACACCATAACGAACCAAATAGCGAAAAAAGTAGAACAATAGCTCTTAAGGTAAAGAACTAGTAGCGTCGCAAAACGAGCGGACGGACGGACGGACAGACAAAGTGGCCACAATAGCGCATTTTTTTTTATTTTTGTGGAAATGCGCTAAAAAATGGGATTATTGCGTATGGACAAGACACATTCTTTGAATAGGCATACTTTGTTCGAGGTGCCTACATACAAAATCGAAAAATTGGATTGCGCATGCGCAAAACAAATTTTTTAAATAAGCATCAATTTTACTTTTTTTAACTAATAACATGTGTACCAAATATCAAAGCGATCGGACGTTTCTAAACAAAGTTATCTTTCATACGGACAGATAGATGGACAGACAGACAAAGGAACAGACGACAGACAGCAATACAAAATTATAAACGATCTCTAGGATCGTTAATAAACGGCAAAAGTATAAAATTATGGAACACGTAAAAAATAATGTTTTGGTTTTTTTACAATAACTTTTTTAGAAATAAACGCAAAAAAAATCGTTCCTTGGTGCAAGGCTCGACACCATAACCAACCAAACAGCGAAAAAAGTAAAACAATAGCTCTTAAAAAGAACTAGTAGCGTCCAGACGGACGGACAAAGTAGCCACAATAACGCATTTTTTTTATTTTTGTAGAAATGCGCTAAAAATGGTTCTTTTCTTAAATAAAACATTAGAGTTGATTGCTAAAATTCCCTTTTATTTGGCCTACTCTGTAAAATTAGCTCAGCAGTAGCATTGAATTCAGATTCAGATTTATTATTCAATGGTAGTAGTAAATCTTGTTTAAATTTTGAAAAGATGAATAATTACAACATTTTTGTAACAAATTCATTAATTAGGGATGTAGTAAAAACCTTTTTAGAACCTTACTGCAATGAAATAATTTATTGTATACGTGAATCACGTGTTCCTATTGCTCTTTTCAATACTTTTTCGCACTTGAACAATCTAGAATGTGTTAATGTGCAGATTAACTAGGTAATCTACAGATTGCTATTAATTTAAAGGAAATATCGCACTTTAACGGATCTGAATCGAGTTAATCGATCAATTTGCACATTAACGTTGTTCTAACATTAGCGGTAACATATGCACTACTTAAATTTGTAAAAAAATCTTTAAAATTCTTACTTCACGATGATACACCTGATCTGCTGGTATATATGGGTTTTTTTCATCATGAAAACGAGAAACCAAAAATTAGTTTCTTCCTTGATCGGGCTTCGAAAATGGTCAGAATGTCATTACCTAAGAATATTAGATCATATGATCGCCTCAAATCCATTGTAAATTTTGTTCCGATATTTAGTCAACCAGAATTTTCTTTTGAAACGTCTTAGAGTGGGAATTTTAGAAAATATTTTTGCAAAATCAGAAAATGCCTATGAAATCCGTTATTCTATCTTCTTATTAGTTATTACCGAGAAAAAAATTAAATTAGAATCTCAATTTTCGATACTTGGCTCCATTTTGGCGTTCAGTTTATTTGGAAAGACACATTCTCAATCCTCTCTATCACTCAAATTTTTTGTACATACTTAATTGTTACACCTTACACCCTGTATTTTCTTTATGATTCATTCTGCATTACGAAGTTGCACATTTACAAACTTAAGTCAGAAGAAAAACATAACACGTCAATAATATGTGGTTTCAGTTCATGTCCATTTAATTAATTCATTATTTTATCTGACGGTTCACAGACAGAATCTCGGGCCATATTTTTTGTTGGGGATAATTACATCAAAATGACACTCAATGTGCATGCTGATATGTCTAATTTCCTTATTTTTATCAAATAAATAAAACTATTAAGGCCACACTGGATTAAAACAAGTAAAGAGATTTAATTTCTCGTCTGTGTCAAAGCCCTTCAATTACTCGTTAAATAACACACAAAACAAAAGGCAATTATTGGCATGGCCGAGATAACCGGATACAGTTGGGGTTAATAGTGGACACCCTCCTACATTTCATTTATTAATCACAGGGCTCGTACTTTTCCTAAATCGCCCCAAAACTGAATATCACATCAGGGCGGGACGTTGTTGAATAATGTACAGACGCGAAACTTTTACCCCCCTTAAAACCTCCCCTTTCCCACCTATAGTTAAAATGCGTCACATTATCTACCCTAAAGCGTCTTAACCAACGAGATGAGAGTAGTCATAAAATTATCTCAAATTACAAAACGTGTTATATAGACGGATGCTTCATAGAAATTTAGTCTTACGTTCAGTTTGATATAAGGATCAAAATTTTACGTTTATAAACACAAACGTACCCGTCGAGCTGTAATAACCGCATTATTTATTTACTCAGGGGAATGTTCACTCATGCGATCACGCATTCGTTCGCCATTATTAAAAATAAATCTGCTTTTCGGGTTCGTTTCGCAATCGCGCGCTTCAACCCCTGTATACGCATCAAGTTAATGTTCTATTTGATTAGTAGTTCGCCTAATGCACTTTCGATGCGAGAATGGGGTAATCATATGGGTAGTGTGACGACCAAAGATAAATTAGTGCGAGGTAACAGATGTGTTGAGTAACTGTTTAAGAATGTTGTCGTTAAGATGTCAATTTAGATAATGGCTAAGGTGCTCATCGGGAATTTCTAGTAGTTTACGAAATTTTTGGAGTTAATTAGTGGGGACAACAGATTGCTAATGGTCGAAATGTGCGGGGTGCTTTTCTAATTCAAGATTCATTATCTTTAAGTTGGTGTTTTTCTGTTGCAGAGCACAGTATCGTCCGGACCTAGTCAACCAACTCCGCCGCCATCCGGTATGGCAGTGACCTCTTCGGCACCAACTCCTGGAAGTCCTCCGACAACGCAACGGTGTTGTGATACCGGCCGACCGCTTTTTACCGATCCAATTACGGGTCAAAGCGTCTGCTCGTGTCAGTACGAATTATTGGGTTACCAAAGGCTAGCTGGTGGTGTACCAGGTCTACCACCCCTATCAATGTATAGCGCTCCCTATCCCGAAGGAATGGCCGCCTATTTTCCGGCACTAGGTGCCGATCAAGCTCCATTTTATACATCGGCGGTAAGTGTAATTTGTTACATTAATTACGAACTTCCATCTTCTACCTTAACCTACATCGTTTCGACAGAATTTTGTTTAGTTAAAGCACAAGAAAGATTGCCATCATGAAAAAGGTATGTGTCCTTGTGAGGACGTTCTTAAATTTTCATTGTTACTTTCACAAACGACATTTTTTAAGTAGAAGACGATGTTCAACCGTTAGATAAAAAAGGTACCAAAGCGGGAACCCCAGAATTCCACGTTGCAATTATCACCTAATGAATCGTTCGGCATTCTAGCTTGATTTATATTCTTGTGGTTTAGTAGTCCAACATTTTAAAGTATTCTCGAAGTATTCCTGTGAATTTAAAGTATATGAACGTCTTTTACGTCGATGATGCTGATTGTATCCAACATTGCAGATAAAACTATAAAAAAACTGCAATTTCTTATGTATAGAATTCAGATCTCCAAAAGTCCAAACTGAAATGCAAAGATACAATTATATACACCCGTTCACCGTCGTCAAAAAAATGAAGAATTATAACATAGGAATCCTAGCAATAAAGGAGGTGAGAAGGAGAGGGGAAGGACAGACCAGGCTTACACTCTTTATTACAGAGAGGAAAACAAGCAAGCCAGTAAAGGAATAGGATTTATGGTGGACCAAAACATAGAAACAAGCATACGAAATTACAGAAGGAGTAAACGGAAGAATCGCTTATCTAAGAGTAAGAAACCAAGCCAACATCACTATAATCAGGCTTATAATTCTCGGAGATTTCAATGCCCAAGTCAAGTGGGAAAAGCACATGTGGCTAATCGCAGGGAAGGAAACACAACAAAACGAACGATAACGGAGCAAGGATGAGCAATTTGGCAACGGAGATGGATATGATCACGAAATTCAAACACAAACTGGAGCATAAAATGGATGATCCCAAGGAGAAACGCAGGAAACCAGATTGACCACGTGCTGATATCAAAAAAGAAGCATAATCCAGAATGTCAGATCATATAGGGGACGGAAGGTAGTACAGACAGACTCCTCCTAGTAATAACCAATTTGAAGCTAAGAAAAATTGAAAGAAGGAAAAGACCAGCAAAAAGGAAAAGATGGAAAATTGAGAAAATTAAAAAGAGGAGCACGCAATATGAAAAAGATGAAAAACGAATTATACCATTTAAACGTCTATAGTGCGGCTGAAACTATCGAAGAAGAATGGAATAACATAAAAAGAAGAATTGAAATTGGAAGAAAAGTAGGAGAGAAAAAGAGTGGTTTGTCACTGAATGCGAAACAGGAAAAATTAAGAATTTATGAAAGGAAAATAATAAGAAGCATTTTTGGAGGGAAGAAAATTGCGAAAGGAATATTTCGAAGATTAATGAATTCGGAACAATACTTAGTGGAGAACACATAGTGAGAACGTTAAAGGTGCAAAGAATGCGTGAGAAACGACAAAGAGGTGAAAAAAATTAGGTGGGGGGATGAAGTGATTTAAGGGCATAGCAAGCCTAGGACAAGATGTAAAGAACGTGGAGTAACTTACCGCACTTAAAGATTAATTTTCAAATAAGGATTGTAGACTTTATTTACATATTCCAGAGAAACATATTTTACTAGGAAGGCCACAAGTTTTTAAAATTCTAAATTTGATTAGGATTAGGTGTAAGAGCAAGGGACACTCATTGAAAAGGTTTTCCTTCTCTACATTTTACGCGGTAGTTTTACCTTTCCAATTGAGGGGCGAAGAGAGGGGGGTATGGGGACATACGGCTTAGCACTCCTTTTCAAAGTTAATTATAACGATCCCTTACTTATTAACGATCTTCTAAAAGCAAGTTCATGATTTTGAACTTTCCGTCCATCCGTCCGTCTGTGTATAACTCGGGAACGCCAACGATATCAGTGCAAGAATAACGATTGTTTGATGTTTTGATCAAAGTTCATGTAGTTGTCCAAAATAGATCAAATTCAAGTTTTGGTCATCGAGATAATGTTCTTGGTCTTTTTTCCAACGAGATTGGTACATAAATAACGATTTTGACATGTTTTGATCAAAATCCACGTGGTCGCCAAAATGCATCAAATTCATATCTTGAGCATTGAGATAAATCCCCTAGTCTTTTTCCCAACGACCTTGGTGCATAAATAACGATTTTGACATATTTTGATCAAAATTCATGTGACCCCAGAAAAATAATTTAACATCTTTGAATCACATAGATGCGGTTATCAAATGTGCACGTGATGTACTCTTTCAGCATCAAGATAATGCGTTTGAAAACCTTTAAAACTCCAAATTCATGTGTAAAAAATAATTTTGGGTACATTTTGCTCTAAAACTTTTGACCTATACCACAGAGAAGAGCTATATTCAATTGTTACACATCTAAGAGTAATAGGGAATAATCCAGCGGAAGTCCGAACTCGATACATGACCTAGCGAATGAAATATTTTGATTTCTATTATATTGAGCCCGTAGATTTTCCTGTTCCCGATTCACTCGAAGTCCTATAACTTTTGTTCCTGTTGAACCAGCTTCCTGAAAATCAATAGCGTCCGTCCTTAATGTTCAAAGTACCCGTACACCAAATTTCAACCCAATGGGCCACTTTTAAAAAGAGTTAGAGCGCACACGGACGGACGAACGACAATACAAAACTATAAAGGATCTGAAGAATCCTTAATAATGCCAATTGGAACGAAGAAAGGAAATCTATATTTGGACCCTAAATTATTAGGCCATAAATAATCTGAAAGAAAGAATTAAAGAAGAGGGTGCAAGGTCGTTTACGGCCTATGTTACTTTCCACATCAGATTTGACAACTCGGTCAAGTACTCAGGTAAACCCAAATGCCGTATACTTCCATTACACTGCAGTGTAACCACAAAAGAACCAGAAGCGACGAAAAGGAAGCGTAAAAATTTACTTCGCGCCTTGCCCTCAATGGGAGAGATGACGAAGTTTAATTATTTTTATATCTCCCCCATCAATCCTCGATCCTATCGATCGATAAGCCTCATCCCAACTACTGCTAAGATCCAACTTATTTCCAATGTACAGGCAGGAAGGAATAACCAAACCATTACTGAATCCGAAAATGTGAGATACCTTGAAATCCATCTTGACAGAAAACTAACGTGGAAGCACCATACAGAAACAAATCAACAATCAAAGAAGGTGCGAAAAGCCTCATGAAAAGCTTGGTGTTCAGTGTTCACTACCGCACTCTGGTTCAACCTCTCCTAGAGCCTTTACCAGATCGATGGATCAAAAGAACTTGGTCAACTGACCCGATGAAGGGCTAATAAGGCACGAGCATCCTCCGAATTCATGATGATATATATTCTGATTGTTTGTTAATTAAAATTTGTATGATATAATTTAAGTAGATATCTAAACAATTCAACTGCAATGAGATTAGCAATGTAGATCACTAAAAATATGCAGGGTGTCCTATTTAAATTTTAAAATTCATGATCACTATTCACTACTGGTCAAGCCCGAGTACGTATATCACCCATGAATTGTTATTACGTAGTATAGTCATATTCTGCCAGTTTTCAGACTAATGGGAATTCTTGAGTTTTCAAAATTTATCCATCTGGCATAGATACGTAAAACCTTGCGTAATTAACAGCAAACGTTTTGGCCCAATAAATGCTGCTAAAGTATTTAAACAATTTCGTGAGTCTTGCCATCATCGAATATACATTATGTTCTAATTGCTTTGGGACACACACGGGATTCGACTAATGAGTCAGGAAGCCGTCAGACGAGGACACGTCTGTCGCTTAATCGCCAACTCCGGGCTTTCGATCAAAGTTTCATCAGGAAACACATGTTAACAAGGTATTTGCCTGTATGTCCCAGTGATGTCTTTCGTTACTACACGTTCATTGAATATTGATCGCTACACGGGACCGAGTTGCGAATTTTAGATTTCGCAAATGATTTTACCCAACAAAGCGCGTGATAGACGAGGCGATGTCCAAATTAAAAGAAGCCGAGTCGCAACCTATACAGAATAATTAAGTGAACATGACAGTTAAAATTTAATTATGTGCCCAGTGCGCTTAATGAATATGAATGTGGTCATTGTAGATCTTTGCCCCGGGGATTTACCACGAGAGGAACCTTGTATACAAACACGTCTCTAGATTATACAAAATGAAATGTGTTTTGTCATAAATCAGGATTGGGACGTGTCTCTATAACTTCATTACGGATTATTATATTAATCACGAGATGCTTGTGGTTTAACAATGCAATATGACAGATTTTCTCTTATAATTTCCATGGGGCATTGTATATTATATACGTGCGCTTAGATTTTTAAATGTTTTTCAATGGTCGTTAGAAGACTATCAAGTATTTGCTTATAAGGATTCAGTAGTTGTACACATTAATTCTCACCAGCAGCAACCGTCTCCCAAATATAAAATATAGCCTTAATACCTTTGGCCACCGAATTAAAAATTCAATTCAATTTATTTATAGGGAACCCTATTTTAATAACAATTCAATTACTTTCTAGTGTGATAGATGATCTAGAAATTTGGATTCTTCATGTAATGCAACTTCTAGATGTTCTGTCGCTGGAAAAGAATCTCTTCTGCGACGTTTAAACTCTCATGAATCACTTGGAACTCGACTTGGAATCATCTCATTGTAAATCATGTTCTTAAGAAACTTTCAAGAAAGAATACCTTATATGAGCATATTTCTCCCACAAGGACAATCAATATGAATTCGACAAGATGATTCCGTGCAACGAAGAAGGCTATCATCTGGACATTATAACAATTAACTTTGAAGTGTTGACATAACAAAGAAGTTGGCACCGTCCATCTAGTAGGTATTCCAGAAATAAACTATTTTTTAGTAAAACGCTTCTAAATTTATAATTTCAAAATTAGGATGAGTTGCATTTGGGAAACATCATAATATATTGATGATTGTCATAAGAAGCGAATTTCTTACGAAAAAAATTGGTAACTAGAGAACAAACTTGGAAATCAATGATTCTCATATTTTTTTAAGAACAATTATAAAACGGGGAGGGACGACACTTTTTCATCCACTGATAAGGCAGTTTTTGGACTCTGCAAATGAAATCAATCAAAGAAACAAATATATTCAATACACTTTAGAAGTTACTGATGCTCGGGTAATAGATAATAGTATATTTATGTACAAGCGAGTTGTGTTGACGTGGTGCATCAAGGCGAGTAACTACTGATTTCAATTTAGTATATGATTCTTTACCGCTCGCATCCGCGCACGTTTTCTCATAATTTAGGTAACTTGGCACTGTATTTATAACACACTCGCTATTGCCGCACGTACCACTACTATCTATTCTATTTGCTCGAAATTGCTTTGGTAGGTTCATGTAATTAAAGTAAGCAAAATGAACGTACCCAAAATCGCACTGCGCTTGCGCAATAGGGAACTTGCGGGGCAATTTCGTCGACATTTTTATGTCAAAAAGTTTTTTTATCGTCCCACGCCTTGGCACCTGACTCAAGACCTAGTACAAGGTCGCATTCTGAAGTTTTTCCTTCCCTGGCATTTCTTTAAATTCCGTGGCCTGTCCTGTTTAAATAGTTACAGAGGAACTCTTTGTACTCCTCATCTGAAAGTTTGGCCGCTTTATGCTCCAGTTTGAAAACTTCTTTTCTAAACTAAATAATTTAAAGAAACAAAAATAATTCGTAATATAAAAGAATCTACAATGGAAATAGATGATTGTCATAGAAGATCATGTACGACAAAAATTGGTAATTATGATGCAAGGTGGTGGTGACACTTTTATATGCACCAATTTGGGATCCTGTTAACAGAATCAACCAAAGAAACAAAATTATTGAATGCACCCCTGGAAGTAAATGATAGTCTGCGACGAACTTTGTCGAGAAGTCCGCTCACAAAAGTTAAATACAAAAAATTAAATTTTAATCATCATCGGTGCGGCAGCTTTTTGGTACGGAATCTCGAGCGCCACCAGGAGTTTGTCGATCCTTGCTCCTGGTCAAGAACGGTCAGTTTCTGAAGCTACGGGTACTCAAACGGAGAAGCTGAAAACTCCAGGTATCTTGCGGGCAAATGGCGGCAGTCGCAGGGGAATATTTAAAACACTAAAACTAAGCGGTACATGGGACGGTAGCAATTTCCCAAATTGGAACGGAAGTACAAATTAACTATCGGTACCTTACTAGTTACTCCGAAAACGAAACAAGGATGAAGGAACACAAACCCCCTTTATACAATGTCAAGCGCTTACCTTGAAATTAAACGGTATTTTCAAATGCAAAGATTTACTAAAGTGGCACGAAGTCAAAGGCGGAAAAACATCCCCTAAATCACGCTGTTGCCTTATATAAACTATAATTACGGAAAGGGGAGGTCGGAAATTCTAGCCAGTCGGCTGGAGTGATAACGTCCATAAATTAAAGCTTCTTTATTTAATTTCTGGGCTTCTGGTCAAAAAATACTGGGATCAATCTTCAAATTAATTAAGCGCGCTTGACACAATGAAATTAGACGAGGTTTGCTGCAAAACATCTGATGAGCTACCGGTTTTGAGGCTCACTCAAATGATCGGACTGAAATTTCCAAATTCGGTAGGCCAGTGATTGTCCAATGATGGAATTTCGGGTCAATCGCGAAAGATCTGCAACCTTAACGGCCTTGCAGCTTTAATGCCCGTTTTCGCGTAACATTGGGAAACTAAAATCGGTTATTAATGAATGAAGGGAACTGAAATCACAAAATATCAATTTTTCTCCTTCTTCCCCATGCCGAGGGCTGTCGGATGCTACAAAAATAATCTACATATCTACGAGAACAATATTGTATTCCACAGCAGGCTTTTTTATCAGTGTTAAAACGGTTCTACAAATTAAAACATTGCTTTTACCTTCTATTTCTTACTCCTAGAAAAGAAATACATAGTTCCGGAACTACACTTTCTCGTAAGGAAGCATCCATTTGAGTCTTAAGTACCGGGTGTTCATTAAAGCTGGTAGCTTCCATCAGTGTATGGTGCGTTCATTAATTCTGATATAATTCAGCTCCAACCCTGGAGATAGATTACTGTCATATAAGGGCAGAATTTCTTACGAAAAAAATTAATAATTATAAGACGAAAAGGAGGTGACATTTTTTTTAGAACTATTAGGGTAGCTTGTGGAAACTGTATACTAATTTAGTCACAAATATTGAAGAATATAACTCCGGCAATTGATAATGCTCCTTTAAGGGCGAGTTTCCTTTTAGAAAATTAGTAATTTTAAAACGAGTAGGGGCGATAGAACTTATAGCATAGATTGTGAAAAAAATTTTCAAATTGGATAAATGAACTGAACCATAATTTCGCAAATTTCTATTATTATATAGCCAATCAGTAATCACCCTGGTAATCACCAACAAGCTTTTGCGAAGTTTTCATTACGTATTAAAGTTATCAGAAATTTCAATTTTTCTTACAATTTTTGTAAAATGAAGATGAAAATAATCTTGATTTATGATTTATGAACCGCAAAATATTATTGATTATCTGATTAATAGAATAATAGACGATAAAAATAATTGATTATTTGACGCTTAAAATCAGCGCTTGGAACTATAGTTTACAATGGTGGTTATACATTAAAATGTATAGATTTGATGGACAAATGGTTTTTTTTGTAATCTTAGCGCTAGATCTACATATATTCATATTACAAATACGGTGTGTACAAAAGTGCGAATTATACCCATAACTGTTTATGGAAAAAATGGAAAGCAATCTTGTTGCTTTAAATTACCTACACTTTAATTACCCCCCGTTAAATTAATGACCAGACTAATTTAGCTAACATGCATCCCAAGAAGTTTATCTTTAGATGCTTTGTACTAAATTAATTAAAAATAATTATGTTGATCTAAAATAGTAAAACGTGCAAAAAATATGCTCGAATCCATCCATCCATCCACGTAACATAATTTATGTTTCCTCATATAACAGCTACATAGATAACAATTATGTGTGGATATAAACAATATGTTCATTTATATACTGTGTGATATTCTTGCTCTGTTGATTATACGAACTCATTGTAAAATACAAGTAGTAGTCGATAATTAACGAGATATATAAATATTAACTTATGAAACAGAAAAATAATTGTGCACGCTATTTCCTTGAATGCCGGAAGTCGGATTGTCGTGCGAACGTTTCGATGTAAAAGTTTACTTGAAATTTTTGTTTGTTTCAGGCGGCAAGTTTAGAACTTAAAGAAAATCTTGCGGGCGCAGCGACGTGGCCGTATCCTTCAGTTTACCACCCTTACGACGCGGCGTTCGCCGGTTATCCCTTCAATGGGTAAGTTTCTTTTTTCTCTCCGACTTAATACGGGCGGACATTTTTAGAATTGTTTTATTATCATTAGTACAATTTGTAACCTTTTCCCACATGGAAATCGAGTAATTATATGCGCACTTCTTATACGGGTTACTATAAATTATTGAGTTATTAAACAGCTCTACATTCCATTTATGTATATGCAAATTGTTATTATTATACTTACATAGTGGAGTATCGTAATTATTATGTACACAATAGGACTGTTCAGATGACATTAATTAACGTCCGATTGTAGATATTTATGTATGGTGTTCGTATAATTGTTTACAATTAATCTATGTATGTGAATGTGTATAAATAAGTGCAGCAATTAAGTATCTCTACAAACAATTAATATATCATATTTCTCTGTCGAAATCGTTTTGCAAAGATGCATTGTTATTGACAACATGCATTAACACAACTTTCCTTTAATTGAAGACTAAATTAGCACCTGTTCTGTAATAGTACGTGAAAGTTTCGGTCCTGGCTTCTCGATTCGATTTTCTATAATTGAGTTTTGAAATTAAAAGACATATTTTACAGTTCTGATCAATGAAGCAATCTGTATACGCATGATTTTTACTTCTTGAAGACAACAACTTTTTATAAAATCTTTCCATTCGGCACCATTCAATATTTCTAGCGTTTTATTAACAATTTCTGTAAGAAAATATTTGAAAACCTTTTTCAGTGGAGTTTTGGAATTTACACAACTATGCTATTTTTAGTGCTCACTTATTGTAGGAATTTCAGATATTTTTGATACGTCAAGGTAGTTTCTGGCTTTAAGACGCATTTTGAACTATTTGTAAGCATGTTTCGTGCACAATCGGGAGTTATTTGCACAACTAGTTTTGAAAGTGATACTTTTTTCATGAATTTGCAGTTTGATTAATGAGGGCGAAGCATCTTCAGATGATACTTCCCGTGTAACCCTTATGCTGACTATATCGAAGCGTCTTTCCCCACGTACACCTTTTTACTAATTTAAGTTACAACTTCTGACTTTCCAAAATTTTGATTTGGGCCTCTCGACCCCTTAAGCCTTAAGCATTTCGATGATATGAAATAAATGCACCACGAAGCGGATTAAACTCAGAATTGTGTTAGGAGTCTTTTCGTTTATTTAGCTCAGAAAACGCTTCTGAAATCTGTAGTTAGATCGCGTGTTCCAATTTAAAAATTGTGTTAGTAGTTATACATAATAATATATTCTAATTATACAATGCATATGTGATACGATTAATAATCTTAGAATAGTGAACCGTTATGAAAAACTTCATTAGTCTAAGTCAAATTAATTTTAGCTAACAACAAAGGCGAAATTACGAATGTTGGCGTATTAAAAAATAGGTGATAATTTTTCTTTAACAAGGCCACGTTTTTAAATTACATAATTTAAGGTTAACACCATAATCCGTTAGCTTAATTAATTTATTACCACTTAGCACGTATAACCGTATCGGGTTACCGTTAGCATATTATTATTTTTATCAATGAGAAATGAATTTTCGCCTCCTTTTGTCGTCTATATCGGAGTATAGTGACTGATGACAAGCTAATGTGGCGGGCTGGCCACGAAAACCGACGTTCGCGGTCCAGACGCCCACCGTCCCGATGCACGTCATTTATTATTTAGAGCGATAATTCAGTATACACCCTAGTCATTTGATATTGGATCCCCTTTAATCTCATGGGATCTCCGACACATTTGCCACATTCTTGAATAAAACATCACCGGATTAGAAAAGCTCTCTAATTGAAATCTTCACCTTATAATGGAAATTTGGAGGGCTTCCCGAGCGGACCCCTTAAGCGAAAATGATAGTTTGGCGATTGTCTATCTCGTATAAGAGTTTTAATGTATGGAAATGATTTATGGCGGTCGTAAAATGTTGAATAAGTGATTAATTTACATTCTACTACAGAAACCACAAGCGCATTTGATATTCATCTCATAAAACAAATTACATGCTTAACAACATTGTTTTAGTTACATGTGAATAGTTTTCTCCTACTGTTATATGGTAACCTGGACACGAATAGTTTACCATTTACTTGTCAATCTCCACGCACTATGTTTGCTTAGAAAAATTATGAAGTATCCGATGGAAAACTTTCCCGCATTCTAATTTTTAGTTTAAATAGATTCCATCAAACATACCTTAAAAATTAATAGGAATGCCGGAAGAAAATTGGGATCATTTCTCAAAAGTGACAATTTTTGTTAAATAAGGCCTAGAACTTTATTAGAATCATATTCAGTGTATATGCTAATGGGGCCTCTGAAAAGATTTTTGTAAATTCAGTATCTTTTCAGTTTCATAGATGGCGTAGTCACTCTTCTAAGTTTTAAAAGGAAATGCACCTCAAATTTAACACACTGACCAATGATTATGAATTATCTTTAGTTATCTTAATTATATCTTAACTGTAACATACGTATTTTTGCTGCGTGTGTTTAACCGATTTTTGACATCGGTTTAAAGTACCATTCGCATATATTGCAAATAAGGGGCGGCACAAAAAAGTCTTTTTCAGAAACCGACATATAGATAAATTGAAAACGAAGAAAAATCTGAACAAATGAAGCTCATCTGCACAGAGTACCTACCTAAAGACACATCGGTGACCTTAGTAAAAACAATTTAGTCATGGGTCTCATTAGGGAACGGGGCGAATTAGAAATCATAATACAGTGATACATAGGCAGAGGCAAACGCAAAGAATTGGGCCATTATCAGGTCATGCCCCAAAATGTAGTGTGAGATTAGAGTTTGACACACATCTCCATGTAATAACCTATGTCATCACTTTCCACGCCATTTTAGCAATAATTTGTAATGTTGTACTAAAATGATAACTAATTATTAATTAATTATCTTGAAGCATATGACGCCTATGTTTTGACTTTTATGGTTACCTACTCCATTAATTGGTAGGCAAATTTAAACCTTATAATTAATCGTTTCATCCATTGTTCAAATAATTTTAATCGTTAACAAACAAGCAGTAGAAAACAAGTAGCAACACTAATTGCTATTTTGAAGGACGACATGTTTGGATGGGAAGGTACCTATAGCATAGCCATTGCTCACTATTTTATTCCGCCTCCGCTTCATCCGGTCAAGCAAGACCTACACTTAAAAAAATCGTGCTTTTCGCACAGATCGAGACACGTTTTCAAATTTCTCGCAAGGAAAATTATAATTGATAAACGTAATTTATCTAATCAAATTAGTGTCAACAGCCACAGGATATGCATCCACAGCGCGCGTCATACGCTAAAATTGCGCCCTCATTAATTTTACAAAACCAATTAGTACGAAAAATCTCTAAATTAGAAAAAAAGGTAGCCCGGGTATCAACGGTAAAGATCGCGCATGAAAATGTAGCAATAAAATACAAAAACATAATGTATCAAATAAAAGTGTCAAGCGAGCAAGGAATTTCCATTCCAATCGTTTTCAACGTTTCAGAAAATCTCTTTTGGCACGCACCATGGATACTTATATAGCAAGCTGGTGAAATATTTACCGAAAATGTGAAATAAACACGATATTTAATAATTTAGCGTATTGCCATTTGGTGCCGTACACAGTTTACATAAACATACATTTAAAGCAATAAATTACGATCGATAACCCAATAATTGACCCCAAAAGACCGTCATGGATTTATTTATAACAACTCAAATTTGTTAATGCGACGATTGTGATTTGTCACTTCTAGGAAGAACTCTGAGTCTGTTTGAAATTTTCGGATTTATGCGGCATTAATTTGGGGTTATGAAACTATTTATTTTATTGTTGATATGGCGCCTGGGTGGGCATTTCATGGAATTACTTATCTTAGTAGATTTTTGACATAATTACAGTATTAATTATATTCAATTAGCTCGTCGTAATCTCCATAATTGATTTCGATTTAAATGTTTTATTTACGCGGCGTCGCTTTTCGCTGCGCTTTTTTTTTTAAATAAACAGCTAACGAGCTACGTCAAACGAACTTTAAAAATATTAATACATTGTTAACCGTTCTGTTCTTTTGAACTTAAACAAGGTAATCCATCATCATATTTGTTACGTTATGTTTTATGTTGGAATGAATCCAACTTCTGCTAATTTAGTCAGTCAACTTTTCGAAAATACATAAGTTAAGGCACTGGGGAAATAAATAGAATGAATGATGACTACTTTAACGTAAATTTCAAAACAAAACTTCCTTGTTGATTATTTATTAAATTATACGCGATTTATCAATGAATTAATTTTGAATTGTGCTCGAGTAAGTGACGTTATTCCCCAAATAATATAGTGCCCTCCCTTGCTGCTTTGTAAATGTGCTGTTAAACAAAATGTAAACCGAAATACATCTCCACCTTTTTCACGTTTTGCAGACATTTAAATATGTTTTTGCAAAGTGACAAATTGTCTTCGCAATTTTTAACAACGGAAGCTTTGCACATAAATTACGATTTAATTATTTAATCGATGAAATTTACAAGGGTTTACTCTATTTGTGGAGTTCTTTGAATAATAACGGTAAAGTGCACTCGTCGAATATTTGTTTGAGTTCTGCCCCTGCACAAAACTTACAGAGCGATCATCTCTGGTTTTAGATTCGGTTGCTGACAAATCCAAAATGAGGTGCCTGATGGCATTTATTACTTTCAAGATGACGATTGCATACTGTGACACTTTGGTCGCAATTATACATGTTTTTTTTTGGTGAAAAGCTGAGAAATTTTTAAATATAGTGTCGCGATAATTAATTGCTCCATTGTAAAATTAGCATAGAATGATTCCAAGCATGGTGGGTACAATTGTCCTTTCGTTCACATATATAACAATTATCATGTTTGTAGCTAATTACACAGATAATTAAAGGAACAAAGTATTGCCAATTAATTTTCTATGGCCCTGATGTTCCCTAGCGCTGATTGCTCATTACTGTAGTAACATGGTTTAAAGATA